CCGGAGCCCAGTAGGTCGAGGCTGTGGTGGCCGGGAGCGGCCACTGCACTCCAGTCTGGGTGACAGAGTGAGACTCCAACTCAAAAAAAAAAAAAAGAATGGTACACTTGTATATGACACTTACCTTGAATGGAGCTTGCAGGACTGGATTGCTCTCGTGGGGGGTGGTCAGTCAGTGAGTGGTAAGTGAATGTGAAGGCCTAGGGCATAACTGTACACTATTATTGATTTCATAAACATTATCTACACTAAACTTATTTTTAAAATTTTTTTTCTTCAATAATAAGTCAACCTTAGCTTACTGTATCTTTTTCAGTTTATAAACTTTTACATTTTTTTTTTTAATTGGAGTCTCAGTCTGTCGCCCAGTGGCACACTCACAGTCACCGCAGTCCCGACCAGCTGGGCTCAGGCAATCCTTCCGCCTCAGCCTTCCAAGTAGCTGGAACTACAGGCACATGCCACCACACTCGGCTAATTTTTGAATTACTGTAGTGATGAGGTCTCGCCAAGTTGCCCAGACTTGTCTTGAACCTGTGCGCTCAGGCAATCCTCTCACCTCAGTCTCCCAAAGTGCTGGGATTATAGATGTGAGCCACCGCGCCCAGCCTAACTTCTAAATTTTTAAAACTTTTTTACTTTTTGGTATTAACATCTAGCTTAAAAATACATCGTACAGCTGTACAAAAATATTTTTTTCTTTACATATTTAGAAATAAACAAGCCTTAAACTTCTTTATATTATTTTTTTTTTTTTTTTAGTTTTGACTTTTTAAACATTCTTATTAAAAACTGAGACACAAACATACACATTAGCCTAGGCCTACACAGGGTCAGGATTATCACTATCTCTCACCCCCACATCTTATCTCACAGGAAGGTCTTCAGGGGCAATAACACACATGAAGCTGTCCTCTCCCACCTATGACAACAATGCCTTCCTGTGGAATATATCCTGAAGGAGCTGCCTGAGCTGTATATGGAGTACATTCTAAAGTAATGATAAAAAAGGTAGTATAGCAAACGGTCAGGCATGGTGGCTAATGCCTGTAATCCCAGCACTTTGGGAGGCTGAGGCAAAAGAATTGCTTGAACCCAGGAGTTCAACAGCAGCACGGGCAACACAATGAGACCCTGTCTATACAAAAATTGTTTAAAAAGAAAAAATATAATATTGTAAACACAGAAACCGGTAACAGTCATTTATTATCAAGTATTATGTAGTATACATAATTATATGTGCGAAACAAAGAACCGAGTATCACATGTTCTCCTCATAATTGGACCTTGAACAACTATCATAATACTATAAGAAAGGGATTGGCAATACTGGGAAACTGCCAGGGGAGGGCAGGGGCAGGACTAGCAGTAGTGGAAAACTGCCAGGGGAGGAGAGGCACACTTCATCAACAAGGGCACCTGCATAATGAACATTTGTATACCTAACCCTGAATTGTACCCCACGTCTTTAACATTAAAAATTTAAAAAACGTAATTATACGTGCTATACTTTTATATAACTGGCAGTTCAGTAGGTTTGTTTATATCAGCATCACTGCAAACATGTGATACACTGCACTACAAAATTATAACAGCTATAATGTCACTAGGTAATAGAAATTTTTCACCTCCATTACCACTTATGGGATCACCAATATTGACCAAAATGTTGTTATAGAGTACATGATTGTATTACCTTTGTAAACTTTAACTGAACCTGGAATGAGATTCATAGTAAAACTATCTGTGGTAAAGTATGTATGAGAGTTTAGCGAGAAAGAACAGGCCCTCAAGTCAAGATAACCCAAGTGTCCAAAGTCCAGGTTATTGAACGCTCTACAGTGGTTTCAGACACAAGACCAGCTGACCACAAAATAAGAATATTCCTGTCCTTTGCCATTGTTTCTGAGAGATGCCTCCTTTGTGGACTTCACTGGAAGGCACATTTGGGTTTGTAGAGGATTCTAGAATCCTTAGGTTCTTTGGCTTAATACCATGTTATGGCGCCTCTGACACATGTACGACCTTACCTACAACTGTCTCAGCAGACTAACTACCAGAATATGCAGTGTCTAATGTTTGAGAGCAAGTACCACAGAGATTAATAAAGCCCTCTACTTCCATTAAAAGAAGTTTCTATTGCTCTAAAGTCAAAGGGCAAATAAGATGGCAGGTGGCATTCGTGAGAGGAGGAATTCATTTGGGGAGAGGGCAGAAAAGCATGACCATGTTCTACAACTCCAGCTTAATTTCCATGCCACTGTTAGTAAGTGGGGATGAGAAATGGTGGGGGAGGCAGGATAGGAAAAATTCCTCCTGGAACCTCAGACTACAGGGCAGTCATACTTCTCATGAGTAGAATCCTAAAGAAAAAGAGTCAAAGAAAGCACATCTCCACCCTGAAGAATGGGCAAGGGCATGTAACTGTAAAAGCTGACCTGGACTTGAACCCAGATACTGTCTGACTATCATGGCATGACGGATGTCATGAGGCAAAAAAAATGTCAGATGCTTCTAGACTAAAGAGTTTTATATTCCCTTAAGTCATCTAGGTCCCCAAAGGATCACAGTTTTTTAAATTTAGAGGAAGGATTCTGGTAGACATAAACCTCAAGCAACAGTATTTTACCAATTAACCAAAAAATCCAATAGAAAATTGCATTTTGTTTTTCTTCATGGTACTAATATAAATAGTTTTATATCAAAATAACCAGAAAAATTAAGAAATGCAATATTCACTTGAATTGTTAAATTAAACTCAAGACTTAAAACACGTGTCAAACTCGCGTTAGGTCAGAGAGTTTCCAGAGATTCAAGCTCAGTGAACTCTAATCTGAGGATACTTCCTCAGAAATCCTAGAGGAGGACATATCCAAACACTAAAACAAAGACTTATTATTATTGACAAAACATCTCATAATAGAAACATGCAAACAAAATAACAATATTTCCCGCCAAGGACAACTCTTAAACACAAGTGAATCGTTTTTCTTGTTTCAACTATTCAACCTAACCCAGAATTCCAGAACTTACCAACACATTGCGTTCTCCCATTACCCACAAATCCATAGTTGCAAATACAGATCTTCTTCCCTTCTCTTTGCTGGCATGTGGCATGTTCGTGGCACGTGGCACACACATCTAAACCTGAATCACCAACTGTATATGTCAGAAAAAGAAAAATGCAAGATAAAATATATTTAGTTAGGGGACATTCATGATGGAGGATAACCAAAATTTGAATACCAACATAAAACAGAGCAAATCTAAGTTCATCCTTAAAAACCTTCTATGGTTATTTATTGCCCACAGAATCAAGTGCAAATTCCTCTTTGTGGCAATCAACGCTCTTAACGGTCTGATTCCAGGCTAAAACCTCCATCTTTATTGTTCTCAAACCCCAACCACACAGGGTACTTTCTAGGCAGAAAAGGCCAACTACTCTTTATAACAGACTATCTACTGTCACACTTGCACTCCGTTATCGTGATGCTCTCTTCACCTAACATGCCTATGCCTTCCTCTCTACCCAGCAGCTATTCATATTTCAAGACCCAGCTTCAATGTCACTTTCACTCGGAGGTCTTCCTCCTTCCTTTATTCTTAAGAAAAATTAAATGCATCTTCTTCTGTGCTCCTCTAACACGTCCCATATCAATCACATTCATTTGTCATTACATTTGATTCCAGCCATGTCTTCCCAGCTTGGTATAATGAATGAGACGCTCAAGGACAGGGATGATGTCATTTGCCCATATGTTGTTATGGCATAGTACAGACACTCAGTATATTTGTGTTGATTGCCTGGATAAAGAAATCTGAAACTCTACTTGGTATAACTCAAAAAGCAAACGGAGGGGAGAGGAGTACATCTGCCTATTTCTCTACCCATTTTTGAGAAAAAGTGAATGTGTTTAAGATGACAGTGAGATAAGAGCCAAGTCCCAGCAGGATGACCAGATCCCAATTATCTAGATAAACAGCAGAACTGTTTGAGGCTAAAACTCTGAAAACATCCAAATCTACCAGATGGTGATATATGGCCCAAGATCAAACAAGAGTTTTACCGGAGGCTATGTAGTATATTGTGTTTCACTCTCGGTGGCTCTGTAATTTCAGGAGTGGCCTAGTAAAGAGAACCTCTCCAGCATTGAATTTCATTAGTCTTGGCCCCATTATTACCCAGGTAATACAGCCTAGCCCTTGGGCTGCTCCAGGCATAAAACCAACAGAGACTGAGAGATTTCTAAACACTCTTAACCATGCTTTTGTTTTTTTGTGTTTTTTTAATAAATAAAAGATAACACAAAAAACGAGAAAAAACACTAATCATCACTAAGACCAAATTAACCACGGAATATTTACAAAATGTATTATATCTCAGACCATAAAAAGTGCAACAGAGTTCAAAAAAGTAAAAATTTTAAAGGTTGCATTATCTGATCACCATGGATAATGTAATAAAACTACAAAACAAAACAAAAGACTAGGATCCCCAAAGAAACCTACTAGCAAACTACACAAGTCTCCTAAATAATTATTGGGACAAAGAGGATATCAAAATTGAAATGTCTAACACTAGGTATAAAAACTTATATACTGCAAAAAATTTGAGTTTTATGTGGTTCTAAACTTTAAAAGACAGGAAAAAAACTAGACAGCTGGTGGCTGACACAAGATACAGTTATATAACCTCGAGAAAATGAACCAGAAAGGGTACAGATTAGAAGGACAAGTTGCAAACTTTCAAAGATGCAAACATGTGTTCACATGTCCAATCACATAATTTAGTTCATGCATCTGGCATATATTGTCGGGTATGCATCTTCTACAAGTGATTGTGGTTTTGTGTACCTTACTGTACAGTATTTTACTTACTTTACAGTATGTTACTGTACCCTCCTTCAGTAACTCTTCTTGCCTGTTCACTTGATGCCAGCCCCAGATGCCAGCTTTTGTTGCCGTGTACTGCATCACTGTACTTTACAAGGTACTGTGCTGTAAGATTACTGTACTGTTTTATTTTTTGTTTTTTATTTATGTATTATTTGTGTGAAAAGTATTATAAACCTATTATAATACAATACTATATTGCCAGCTATGTTAGTTGAGTATCTAGGCTAACTGATAGACTTAACAAACATATTGGACTTATGAACATGCTCTTGGAACAAAACTCGTTCGTATGTAGGGGACTTACTGTAGGCTAAGCTGAAGTGAAGATAAACTGAGGTAAGAACACCTAAAGTTCATGAATGTGGGTTAAATGCATTTAATCATTTTAACATATAACATTTAAAAATAGTGCCATAAGGACATTGTCAATTCATAATGACATGCAATCAAATCTTGGAATGCTTTTTAAATAACAGACCCTGGGTCAAATCCAAAACTCCAGATGTGATCAACCATACAATGACAAACATTCTTCCCAATTTAATTTGTAGATAAACTGCAACCCTCTTAAAAATCCCAAATCTGGCCAGGAGCGGTGGCTCAAGCCTATAATCCCAGAACTTTGGGAGACGAGATGGGAGGATTACCTGAGGCCATGCATTAGACACCAGCCTGGGCAATTTGGCAAGACCTCATCTCTACAATAAAGAAAAAAAATTAGCCAGGCTCGGTGGCTCAGGCTGTAATCCCGCGCTTTTGGGAGGCCGAGGTAAGTGGATTACCTAAGCCCGCGGGTTCGAGACCCGCCTGGGCAACTTGGAAGACCTCATCTCTACAATAAATCAAAAATCAGCCGGGAATGGCAGCGTGTGCCTGTAGTTCCAGCTACTTGGAAGGCTGAGGCGGAAGGATTGCTGGAGCCCAGCAGGTCGAGGCTGCGGTGGCCAGAAATGGCCACTGCACTCCAGTCTGGGCGACAGAGTGAGACTCCAACTCAAAAAAAAAAATTAGCCGGGCATAGTGGTGTGTGCCTTTTGTTCCAGTTACTTGGAAGTCTGAGACGGCAGGATCACCTGAGCCCAGCAGGTCAAGGCTGCGGTGGCCGTAAGCATGCCACTGCATTCCAGTCTGGGCGACAGAGTGAGACTCCAACTCAAAAAAAAAAATTAGCCGGGCATAGTGGTGTGTGCCTTTTGTTCCAGTTACTTGGAAGTCTGAGACGGCAGGATCACCTGAGCCCAGCAGGTCAAGGCTGCGGTGGCCGTAAGCATGCCACTGCATTCCAGTCTGGGCGACAGAGTGAGACTCCAACTCAAAAAAAAAAATTAGCCGGGCATAGTGGTGTGTGCCTTTTGTTCCAGTTACTTGGAAGTCTGAGACGGCAGGATCACCTGAGCCCAGCAGGTCAAGGCTGCGGTGGCCGTAAGCATGCCACTGCATTCCAGTCTGGGCGACAGAGTGAGACTCCAACTCAAAAAAAAAAATTAGCCGGGCATAGTGGTGTGTGCCTTTTGTTCCAGTTACTTGGAAGTCTGAGACGGCAGGATCACCTGAGCCCAGCAGGTCAAGGCTGCGGTGGCCGTAAGCATGCCACTGCATTCCAGTCTGGGCGACAGAGTGAGACTCCAACTCAAAAAAAAAAATTAGCCGGGCATAGTGGTGTGTGCCTTTTGTTCCAGTTACTTGGAAGTCTGAGACGGCAGGATCACCTGAGCCCAGCAGGTCAAGGCTGCGGTGGCCGTAAGCATGCCACTGCATTCCAGTCTGGGCGACAGAGTGAGACTCCAACTCAAAAAAAAAAATTAGCCGGGCATAGTGGTGTGTGCCTTTTGTTCCAGTTACTTGGAAGTCTGAGACGGCAGGATCACCTGAGCCCAGCAGGTCAAGGCTGCGGTGGCCGTAAGCATGCCACTGCATTCCAGTCTGGGCGACAGAGTGAGACTCCAACTCAAAAAAAAAAATTAGCCGGGCATAGTGGTGTGTGCCTTTTGTTCCAGTTACTTGGAAGTCTGAGACGGCAGGATCACCTGAGCCCAGCAGGTCAAGGCTGCGGTGGCCGTAAGCATGCCACTGCATTCCAGTCTGGGCGACAGAGTGAGACTCCAACTCAAAAAAAAAAATTAGCCGGGCATAGTGGTGTGTGCCTTTTGTTCCAGTTACTTGGAAGTCTGAGACGGCAGGATCACCTGAGCCCAGCAGGTCAAGGCTGCGGTGGCCGTAAGCATGCCACTGCATTCCAGTCTGGGCGACAGAGTGAGACTCCAACTCAAAAAAAAAAATTAGCCGGGCATAGTGGTGTGTGCCTTTTGTTCCAGTTACTTGGAAGTCTGAGACGGCAGGATCACCTGAGCCCAGCAGGTCAAGGCTGCGGTGGCCGTAAGCGTGCCACTGTATACCAACCTTGGTGACAGAGTGAGACTCCGACTCAAAAAAAAAAAAAAAAAAATCCCAAATCTTAGGCACGGAGTTTTAGTTTGGGATGACGAAAAAGTTCTGAAGATGTATGGTGGTAATGGTTGTACAACATGATTGTACTTGATGCTTCTCGATTGTACACTTCAAAATGGTAACATTTTATGTTATATCTATTACCATAATAACACAAAGATAAGGAAGATTACATTTTTAGTTTTAAAATCAATTTTACTGGGATATGCATACATGCTTAAGTGTGCAGTTCAGTGGGTTTTGACAAATATATACAACCATGAATCAACTGCCTCAATCAAGATAACAGTCTATGTGAATGTGCAATTTGTTTATCCATTTTCTATTGATAAACAGTTGGGTTGTTTTCATTTGGGGGCTGATATAACTAAAGCTATGATGAAGAAAATAGGGGAGAGAAACCCAAATCTTTATAGGCAAGTCATTGTTTCTGGATCCCAAATTTCTCATGATGCCACTGAGAGATATTAGATAACAATTATGCAGTTTCAGAGAACAAGTAACTAAAGAAACCTAAACTAAGGAAGCCTTAGCTTACCAGCCAACCAAGCAGGGCCAGACACAGGGGTTTATGTCTGTAATCCCAGCACTTTGGGAGGCCAAGGAGAAAGGATCGTTTGAGACCAGCCTAGGAAACATAACAAGACCCCATCTCTACAAAATAAAGTTTTAATTAGCTGGGTGTGGCGGCCCACACCAGAAGTCCTAGCTACTCAGAAGGCAGAAGCAAGAGGATCATTCGAGCCCAGGAGTACAAGGCTGCAGTGAGCTATGATTGTGCCACTGCACTCCAGCTGAGACAGAGAGAGACTCTGTCTTTAAAATATATATAAAAATAAGGCAACCCCCTTGGGTCCCCTCCCACCATGGGAGCTTTTCTGTCCTCTCAATAAATTCTGCTTTAAAAAAATAAATATAAATACATAAAAATAAAAACAAGCAGGTCTATTACAAGATAATTTCCAAGTGAACAGACAACGTAAACATACTATTCTAAGGCTAAAAAACATAACACTGAAACATAGACACTGAAATCACACACAAATGTGTGTAGAACAATAATAGATATAAGCACGATACTATTGAAATCAACAATAAAATGTGTGAAATTAAATAATTCAATTAAAACTGCTGAAACTTTAAGTTATCCTGAGCCTTGAGAGGAATGTGGCTATGCAGCCTGAGTAACGCATGCAGCAGCTACTTCTGCCTTTTTTCCCTGTAAATAATTAAAATCAAAGAGCTCCAGAGATAGGACCTCCTCAAATCACCATGCCTCCTCAGGAGGGAGTAATAAAGTAATCTTCCTTGGAATGCAGCCATCTGAAACCAATCAAACCTTGTGGCCTTTGTACTAGTCTTGCGTGGAAAACACAATCCTGCTAAAATTTCTAAATAAGTGAAACCTTAACTTCTCCACTTTGAAATAGTGACCCCATCAGGTTGGAGTTGGTGTTTCCCAGCGGTCATCCTCAAGTTTTGAGCTCAAATAAACTCTATGCTTAATCATGTTCTGAACCTCATTATTTAAGGTTGTCAAATGGGACAATGTTTCTTTTTAATATGAAATACTCGTTTTTATAAAGGTGCAGCATTTATATAGGTCCATTTGCAGAAACTTACATCAGCTGGAAAATGACCACTTCATGTAACTGTTGAGTAAATCTAATAAACATGCAAAAAAATTAAGGAGCAAAGAGGTGGAACTCACTCAGATAAATTAAAGGAAGTCCAGTCTGAATTAGTAAAGGATGGAATATAAAATGTTTTAAAAGAAATTGAGTTAAGTTCAAAATTATTTAATAAATAGACTCAGACAAATAAACGGCCTTGTAGGAAGGCTGTCAGGTACAGAGGGAAAGCAGTAGACTTGAAAGCTAGTCAGAATTGAATACTAAATCCAGCTGAGTCTAATTCATTGTGTGATCTTGAGCAAATGACGTAACTTTCTGGAGCTCAGTATTTTTCAACTGTAACACCAGCACTTTGTGCTGCTCAGATTTTAAGGTACATTCAAATCACCTGGGTACTTTGATCTTGCTAAACTACAAGCTCTGATTCCGTTGGTTTGGGGTGGGGCCCTATATTTTGCATTTTTTTTTAACACTTTTATACAGATCAAAACAGATGTTCATTTCCATATATGGACTGACTATGTAAAGAGAGAGTTGGATGAGGCTCTAAAGACATCTATCTCATACACTTAGGGCTCAAGTTCTTTTTGTGTCTAAGAATTTCCAGCTAATTCTTCAGTCTGCATTTCACATATTTCATCAGATAAATAGTTTTTCTGTTCTTCTACCATTTTCTTCCTTAGATTGCCTCTGAATACATCGTCAGGTTAAGCGGTAAATCTTCAACTTTCACAGAATCTTCTTCATCAGACTTGTGCATTTCTAACAAGCTCACAGGTGGAGCACATTTTGAGTAGCAGAGGATTAAATGGTCTCTAAAGTCCTTTCTCTCTAAAGTTCTGACACTTCTTCCTTAAGGTATCTGTTTTAATGACCCATTAAGAATAAATTTTTTTTTTTTTTGAGTTGGAGTCTCACTCTGTCACCCCGGCTGGAGTGCAGTGGCACACTCACAGCCACTCCAGCGTCGACCTGCTGGGCTCAGGCGATCCTTCC